GGGGCAGCAGGGCAGGCCGTATGAAGAGAGGCTACGGGACCTGAACCTGTTCAGCCTCCACAAGAGAAGACTGAGGGGGGATCTAGTGGCTGTTTACAGACTAGTCAGAGGGGACCAGCAGGCACTGGGGGAGTCCCTGTTCCCCTGAGCACTGCCAGGAGTGACTAGAAATAACAGTCACAAGCTGGCAGAGGGTAAGTTCAGAGTAGACACCAGGAGGCGCTACTTCACTGTTAGGGCAGCTAGGATCTGGAACCAACTTCCAAGCAAAGTGGTGCTGGCTCCTACCCTGGGGGTCTTTAAGACAAGGCTAGACCTTGTCACCTTGCCAGGGTCGTTTGACCCCAGTACTCTTTCCTGCCATGGCAGGGGGTCGGACTTGATGATCTGCTCAGGTCCCTTCCGACACTACCAACTATGAAATCCTGCACTGGTCAGATTCGCCCCGTATAGTCAATAGTCCAAGGGAACCAGAATACCAAAGGTTCTGCTGCTAAATCCCCCAACCCCAATTTCTACCATACATATACAGGTAGGAATCATCTTGCCTGAACTGCAGCTTATTCTGAGAAAAGTGCTCAGGTCTGGACTGTGTAACAATGGAGGGGGAAGTTAGTTAATGACCTGGCTATTAAGCAGCAGCCTAAAGTGTAGAGGAAAAACACTCAGTTGTAGCCTGCTAGAAAAACACAGGGGACTTTAATGTCTTATCCCTGCTCTGGAGTCTGTACAAGTAGCAAGTCTAAGTAGCAAAGTATACATTCAGGACGTGGTAGGTACTCTGTCCCCACCAGCTGGAAGGACAGACCAGAGTGACTGGCTGTGCTCATGCACAGATGTGCAGTGGGTGCATCTACACATGCAATTAGCATGGAGCAATAAACAGGGAGGGGAGGGGAGGGGAAGGAGGGGAGGTGAGGGGAGGGGCCCTTGGGGTCAGCCTGCCAACTCAGAACTGCTCTGATCCAGCTCAACATGCTGCAGAGAGTCTGGCTGGGGTATGGGGGTTCTCCAGTGCAGGAACAGCCAGCAAGCAGCTGCTGTGCAGAAGCATCTTCATGCCCCAGCCAGCCCCATCAGACTGTACACCGAATATACACGTGCATTGCTGCACACTAATGAACACCGCTGTCGGACAGTACTTGCATTTACAAATACTAACCCGTGGTGGAGTTGTTTCCTACGGCCTAACTGGGTGGCACGTGTAGATGTTGAGACTTTATTGCAGAGCTAATTAGGCAACTCCACAGCAAACATCTTGTGCCACCCAGTATGTGCCACTTAACAGACTTTCTTAGCAAGCCAGATAAAGCATCAGCACAGAAGTCAGGAACAATATGTAGACTTCACTCTAATCTGTGTGCTGTCCTTTCAACATGCAGAGAACTCATGAAACAAAGTGGCACAGATCAAACGCAGACTCCAAAGGTGGAGCTGAGCCTCTCTCAGGAGTTAGTATTTTATCTAACAAAGCTTCAGCAGAACCTTCAGTAATTTATTGCAAGCTAGATCATACGCTGATCAAAATACACCTGAGCTACCTGATTCGAGTGAAGGCGTAGAGTAAGTAAGCAGCTGTATTGCCTCTGTCATCCAACATTTTATCAAAGGAGAAGATGTAATCATTCATCCTGTTGTGGGAGAGATCAGCATATTTAATGCAGCCAAAAGCCACAGATGTCTGGGCAGCCTTCAGCTCTTCTGCTGTTAGGACCTACAAAGAGAAAAAAGCATTAAGCAGAGCTCTTTCTATTCCTGACCCAGCAGCTTGTGCATGATCGAAACCCAGGGAAAAAGGTAGACCTCAGCAGGAAGTATTCTAGAGGCAGTAGAGAAGTAAAATTGTAGAGGCCAATGGGCAACTGCTGCATGCAGAGCTGCACCCTCTTCAGAGGATTAACTAGCTGATTAAGTTCAAAACACTAAGGATCATTCAACTTAACATATACAGCAAAACTTCCATTTCATTAAGACTAGAGTATAGCTTGCTAGAAGGTAGGTTAGTCATGTCTCAGGAACAGAAGCACAGTAGTGTCAATCCAACCTTTCCTGCAGTCAAAGTGATGCCATTGTCTAAAGGATGAAAAATGCCATGGAACCATAGAGTAGAAATATTCTGCTATTCTTCTAGATCAACCTTACTGAGATCTAGGACCTGTCTGCCATCACCATCACAGAATGGCCTGAAAGTTTTGCCGTGTATTCAAGAGCTTGCAATTTCTTCAACATGGCACTGCTTTGCATAGCTTGCTGTGTAACGTGTTGTTGAAGCCCCTTCTAGGCTAGAAGAGCTAACCTCTGCAGTCTAGGAGTCTCATGGCAACTTGTTCTAACTCTAACAGAAGGCTCTTTGAAATAATGAATCGTCTTACTGAATAACTCTAACCCACAGAAATTGAACCGCATGGCTAATTCTGGGGGAAGAAAGGTTTGAGCCATTTTAAATGCACTGTACGTGTGTTGTGCAGCCTCCACAACCACCCCAGTGGAGCTCATCTCGTTAGGGAATTAAGTTCAGTATCAACAAACATCACTGCTCGCTAAGGCAGCGAAAGCTGCCTGGCCTAAACACTGCACAGGAACAGTTTGTGTTCTACCACCACCTGCTGGATCTTTGGGGAATCAGCTGTCTCCAACTGGAGAAGGGAGTTTATGTTCCCCAAGTGCATTCATAGAAATCACAAAGAAGTAGGGCTGGAAGGGACCTTGTAAGACAAGGACCCATCATAATGAAGTGGTCTGGCCTTTCCCCAGGGCGCCATCATTCTGACACTGCAGTTGTACAACAACAAAGATGGCTGTTTCTTTTAGCATGCCTGTGTTTGCCTGAGACACCTCCTCAGCTACCCGCCACTAACCTCTGCTTAGAGAATTTCTGTCCAAACAACGGTCCTAAGTTCTGGAGCTGCTTCCCCCTCTCTACATCTTTTGTTGGCTTTCCTCTGTTCTCCACTTACCCCATCCCCTCTTCCTCTCCCTCTTTCTCCTTATGAAAAACTCTCCCACTGCAAAAGGCTGCCAGACACTGTGGAAGGCCTGCTTCTGCAGAGCAGTTCTAGAGACAAAAATTTTTCATCTTCTGATCCACTGCCCTGGAGCCAGCAATAAAATGTCCAAAGCACTGTAAATTCAAAAAAACTCAATCACCAGCCAGTGCTGCAGTTGTGCCGACAGAGGCCTGCAGTCTCAAAGAAACCCTTCGTAACTCAGAACTGTAGATCAAACTCCTTTGGTAATTGGCTTCAGTGCCTGCTACAAGATTTTGGAGCTGCAGGAGCACAGTACCTAAAGAACAATTTATGGGCAGTAAGATATTACTGGCAAACCCAGCACTAGGCCCTGCGTTAATGTGCATTAATGTGTCTACACATGCATTCATGTGCTTTAACTAATCACACCTAAATTTGATACTTGCTTTATGAAGGTATCAAATTTAGGTAGGATTAGCCTAAAATCACCATTTTTAAGGCTCATTAAGGGCATGCACATATAGAAGTGTGCCTTTAATGTGCTTTAAATTGGGCTAATGCAAATTAAATGTGTATGTATAGACATGCCCAGGGTAACTGCACTGCTACAGACCTCGTGAATGGCACTGTAGCATGTCTATATTGGCTTTTTGGACTAATGGTGCTTTGCCAGTAAAAAAAATCCCAAGCACTGAAATGGGAAAATTCCACTCTCTGGTGCTGCACTGTACGGGACTGAACAGTAACCAGTGCTGTCAAGTTACTTTCCCCAGGCATTATCATGTAATAGCTCTGTGTCAGCTCGATATCCTTAAAACAAGAGTTATTAAATAATAAGAGGCTGTTTGTCTGGAGATCAGAAGCTCCCTTTGGTGTGAGAAATCTCTGGATCAGATCTCATTCAAACCCTTGCAAAGGCTGTGAAAATGACTAGAGATTTCTGTAGACACTTATAATTGAAAGTACCAAAATAAGAATGAGAAGCAAAGAACATCTGAATTCTCTCAGTTTATCTTGTTAATCCTGTGTAGGTTTAGGGGAGACACTGTTTCCCCTAGCGCCCCCTGGCATGACAAGGAACAATGGACACAAATTATTAGAGAGTAGGTTTAGATTAGACATCCGCAAGAACTACTTCACAGTTAGGGCGGCTAGGAGCTGGAACCAACTTCCTAGGGAAATGGTGCTGGTTCCTACCCTGGGGATCTTTAAGAAGAGGCTTGATGACTACCTGGCTGGACTCATTTGAGTCCAGTCTTTTCTCCCGCCCAGGCGGGGGGTCGGACTTGAAGATCTACAAGGTCCCTTCCGACCCGACTTCTATGATTCTATGAAATTGAAATATGCACTGCTAAGCACACTAACCACCTGCTCCTGCTCCACACATGCTCATCCAAGACACAGGACATTATCATGAGGATAGCTCAAGAGTCACTGCTCTCAAGATCTTGGTTTCTGGCCAAGGAAATGGCATAGGCACGCCCCAAAGTGCATGCACAAGTCAAATACTACACCACAGAGCCTGCTTACAAGAGAGAAAAATAACCTATCATGGTTACCTTGTCTCGCTCCTTGTCCTTCAGTTTGTCCATTGATCGTTTCAGTCCCTCATCCAGCAGATCAATGAGTCGCACTGTGTCCCCCGAACGAGTCTTAAACTTCTTCCTGAAAGCATGTGGACAAAAGGCACTGCTTAGCTGGGCAGAAACCCCAGCATTTTCTAACCAAGGTCACAGCCTCTCTGAACTAAGCTATTCAGCAGCACTCCACAGGCATCTCAGCTGCCACATTTCTTAATAATTTAAAAAGGACTCAGCTATAAATTCCAACAGTCCTATCCCCAAGTTAAGCCTGTCACAACAGACAGGCATCTCTACACAGGCACTATAATAAAACTACTTGGGCAGAAAGCTTTTTGATTGGCCTCTGGAAGTCATTCATGTAATAATAATCAGCTATTCCTTGATATGAGGGTGATGTCTGCTGGGGGGGCTGTGACAGGCACCTGAGAAAAGGTCAAGAGTGGACTGCAGATCAGTCTCAGTGTGCAAGAGGATAACACAGTTGTCAGTGTACTGAAGGTCGGTGATGCCAGTCTTGGTAACTTTTGTTTTGCTATCAAGGCACTGCAGGTTGAAAAGCTGACCATCCATTCGATACTCAACCCCAATTCTGGGAGGAAGGTGGTCGCAGATGAGAATCAAAATCACAGCAAGATAGATGGAAGAAAGGGTTGGGGCAATGACACCAGCACAGGTGGTAAATGGGTCTTCTTCTGATCCATTGCAAAGGACTGCGGCAGTCAACACATCATGGAGTAGCAGTCTGAGGACACTGATGAATTTCCATGGACAACCAAATCTAGCCAGCACCTTCCATAAGGCTTCACTATTGATGGAGTTGAAGGCCTTGGTTAGGTCAACGAATGCCATGAACAGCTCCCTGTGTTGCTCTTTACACTTCTCCTGCATCTGCCATGCAACAAAAATCATGTTGCTGGTACCCCAAGATGACCTAAAGCCACACTGGGATTCTGAAAGGACATCTCTGGCAAGGGGGAAGAGGCTATTCAGAAGGATGCAAGTAAGAATCTTCCTAGCAACGGATAGGAGAGCAATGCCTCGGTAGTTCCCACACACTGACTTGTCCCCTTTCTTGAAGATGGTCAGTGTTGGCATTCCTTAAGTCAGGTGGTTGTGATCCCCTGCTTGTGCGCCCCTGCCCGGAGCGTGCAGACTACAGATCGCAGTTCTGCCCTGGCACCAGAACCAGCTGCCCCCATCCCAAGCCCCCTACCCTTAGTCAGTTGTTTATGGTGTTGTGGTGCAAGTTGCATGCCCACGATTGATCTGACTAAACGGTGGCCTGTCCAGCAATCATCTGCACCTCTCAGGACTCAAGTGATATGGACTCTGACAATAATATAGTCAAGAAGGTGCCGGTCATTGGAGCGTGGATATTTCCAAGTGGTCTTACATTTGTCACTGTCTGAAGACCATATTTGTGATGAGCAAGCCATGCTCTGCACATCTGCTGAGGAGGAAGATACCATTGGATTTGACTTTCCCCATTCCCTCTTTCCCAATGGCGCCACTCCAGAGTTCAGCGTGTCGCTTAACTCTTGTGTTGAAGTCACCATTAGGACTAGCTGTCTTCCTTGGCAGTGGCAGTCAGGACTGTCAAGAGCACAGTAGAAATATTCCTTGTTGACTTCTTCATCGTCAAGTGCGGGGGCATATGCACTGATGACCATAGCATACTGGTTGTTACTAAGCTTGAGGTGGAGAGTCATAAGACGTTTGCTAATGCCCACAGGCAGTTCTGATAGCTGGTTGACAATCTTGTTCTTGATGGCAAACCAACCCTGAGAATGCACCTCTTTTCAGGTGTCTTTCCTTTCCAAAAAAAGATGTAGCCACTTCCTCCTCCTTTCAGTTGGCCTTCATCTGCCCAGCAGGCCTCACTTAGGGAAGCGATATCAATGTCATATCTTGCAAGATCTCTAGATACCACAGTGGTTCTCCTTTCAGGATGCTCACTGTTTGGGGGGTCCATGAGAGTGTAGACATTCCAGGGGGCGAACTTCAGCACTTCGTTGTGTTGGTTTTGGCCGCAAGTAGAGTGATCCTACTGGATGCGGCAATCCAGCCGGGGGGTTGAGACAGTCTATGTTTAAGGCACATTTTCCTTCACCTTCCCCATTTAGGGTGAGCAGAGGGGATCATAAAGAGGACTGCTTAGTCACGGCTGCAGCTGCCAAATTGTACTTCTGTCTTGATAAGTACAAAACAACCATCACGGAACCACCACCTATGTCAGATTTGTGACTAGGGTCTCCCAGACATCACTGTTCCTGTCCAAGACAACTAGAGATCTCCACCCCACTGCAGCCCTCACCTGCCTTCTCCACCACAGAGAACCAGCAAGTACACAATAGGGTTGTACAAAATTTCGCCAGGTGTTTCATTTCAAAGCTGTTACATGTTTCAAGCTCAAACCAGCAAAACTGAACTGAAACAAAAGGCTTCAAAACAGCTTTGAAATGAAACAAGGGCACTCGAAATGTTTCGAGTTTTGAAGCCAAACTTACTTGGCTTCAGTACCAATCATAGGCAGTAGCGGCAGCCTCCTCTCATCCGGTGCGTAGATCTGGAGGCCTACATCCCCGGGAGAGCTATGGGGCTGTGCTGGACTCCTCCCGGGGGCACAAGCCCCTGGATCTGCGTGCCAGATGAGAGGAGTCCCTGGCGGCAGCAGCAGCCTTCTCTCATCTGGGGCGCAGATCCGGGGGCTCACGCTCCTGGGAGGAGTTTGGCACAGCCCTGCAGTCCTCTCAGGGGTGTGGGCCCCGGCTCTGCGCGTTGGATGAGAGAAGGCTGGCGCTGCCAGCAAGCATCAGGACTTTTGCTTTGAACAGTTTGAGGTGCAGTTTCCCAAAAACCTCTACCTCTATCTCCTTGAAACTTGGCAGGCTTTATGTCCTTAGGAGGGGCTACCATCCCTGCAATTTTCATCCAAATCAGGCAAGTTATAGGCATTTTCATGACTCCCCATTATAGCCTATGGGCAAAACTCATCGAAACAGCAAAACAGTTTCGACTAAACGAAATGGGACAGTGCTTCGAAACAAAACAAAACAATGCAATGAAACACCATCCCTTTGAAACGGACATCAAAACAAAATGATGGTGTTTCGCACAGCCCTAGTACTCAAGCACACATGTTCTGCCACTGGTGTCTTAAGGAGTTTAGACTATGCTTAGTCTGGGACGTCACTTCAGATCTGCTCGCCATGGGAGAGCCTACCAGGAGTACAAAACTCCAGATGACATAGCTATGAGGGTCATTAGAACACACAAGCCTCTCCACCATAACAAGGTTACGGTCCAGTCATGTACAGTCAGCAGAGTAGTGACAACAGTCAGCCAAACAGCTCCAAAACATCCCTCACATTAACTGGGGAACAGCAGCAGAACACTTGTGGCTACACCCTGGTCTTGGATCTGACTGCAGTATCACAGCAAAGCAGTACAAGATCCAGAGAGAGCAATGAGCAACACACCTTGAGACATATGGCAATAACACCCATTTCAAACCATCCATGCAGTCAGGAGGGAAAGAAGAAGAAAAACAGAGATGGAACCGTCATCAACCAAGGAGCCCAGAAAGGTAAGTCAGAGAGGGTACATAGCCTGCAGGGGAATCCAAGCCACGCATTTCAACAGTTGAGCACTTCTCTGTGATGTGGTTTTCACAACAGAGTCATAATCATTAGGGCTGCGCGAAGCTTCGGTAGCCAATTCGATTTGGAGGAGATTCGACTGGATTCAGGGACTGAATCTGAATTTAATTGGGAGACCAATTCAAAGCTCCAAATAGATTCAAAGCGTCTGAATCAATTCAGAAAAGCTTTGGAAAAAGATCTGGCCGCTTAGGAGATTTGGCCATAGACTAGACCAGCAGGTGACAGCTGCGTCCAGCTGGTAAGTCTGTTGAGATGGGGGGGAGGAGGGAGGGAAGGATTGGGGCTGAGACAAGCTGCCCAGCTGGGGTAGGGGTGAGGTGCGTTACTCAGGGAGGAGGCCGGGGAGGTGGCGGGAACATGGGATCCGGGCGCAGCAGCACTGGGAGCTGGGCCTATGCCTGGAGCGAGCTGCACCTGCATCATGCCCCCCCAACATCGGCTGGGCAAGCAGCAGCGGCATGTAGCCACCCGTGGTTCCCCTCTTTGGGGCAGAGGCAGGTACAGCCAGAGGAGCTGTGGGAGAAGCCCCCATGGCTGTCCTGCCTGACTTAAAAAAAAAAAGCCTCGCACTCACTGGCTCTGGCATGGTGCAGTGCAGCTCGGCAGGTCACCGTGTGCTGCCTGGGAGCTGGGGCAGCTCCAGCAGTCAGCTATAGCCTGGCAGTGCTCAGCTCCAGCTCTCAGACAGCGTGCGGTGCTCTGCCAAGCTGCGCTGCACCCACACCATGGGGCAGCTGTCGCACAGGGGTCAGGCGGGGGGGGTGATCCCCACTGCCCCGTGGGGCTCTGCTATGAGCCCTCAGAGGCCCTGATCCCTGCTGCTGCAGCCAGTGAGTGTCGGGCTTTTTTGTTTTAAAGTGCAGGGAGGGAGGCTGGGGGTGGGTGGGGCTAGGCATGGCAGCCATGGGGCCTTCTCAGGGACAGGCAGGCACAGCTGAAGGAGCTGCGGGGGAACCTGCCTCTCCCCAGCCAATCCAAATCTCTGACTCCGAATTGAACACTTCCCTGTTTGCACAGGCCTAATAAATCACACAATACGTAGTTGTGAAATAGAGGAATGCAATTTCAGGTCACACTGAGATTAATTCGTGACTCTTGGGAAGGATCACATGTATTTGAGAATTACAGCAGGAAGGTACAATGGGATGGCAAAAGGGCCAAACACCCTCACAGTGGGAAACATGCTGAACAATTCTGGCCTCATAGTTAACATATCATAAACAAAGGACACAGACATTTGCTTTCGAACGTGCTATGTTCTGCCCAATAGATTATTTTATCTAAAACCACAACCAAGCCAGAACAAATGATCTATGTTTTTACATAAAACATTTATCTTTACTCATTTTGCAGTTACTTTATCACTGAAAATGATATTTTAAAAACAACTCATGCAAACATGAATTGCACTAAAAATCCCATGGTCTTATGGCATCATTTTCATAGGAAAGAGGGCAGAGTTGGCTGGCTCAAGAAGTAGGGAGGATGGTTTTTTTCAGAAACGCCAATCTATTTCAATTCCAGACAGATAATGCGCTTTCACAGATGGATAACAGAAGATATGGAAGTGTATTATATCAGAAGTAACAAATGAATTATTTTAGGTGTCAGCATTGTTGTGCGCTGCAGGGTCAGAACCTGAGGCACTGTGAGGAGGTTCGTTTTGCCTTTAAGAGAGGGAGTAAGATTTTCTCTAGCTACGGGTCACGGAGTCTGTCAACCGCAGATTAGGGTGCAAATTTTACGAGTTGTAATAAAGAAGCTTTTATTTTGTTTACTTACATGCCGATGATTGAGACGCATAGGCACAGCGGCTTGATTAAATACTTTCTGTTTCAACTATCTGGGTTACAAAGCAGACTGCTAATTCTCTCGTTGCTCACGGATCAGAAATCGAGTCGATGTGCAGGGAAGCGGTACGCCGGGACAGTCGGTGGCGGAGAAGCGATGTTGCGGTTGGCCAGACCATGGCAGATGGGACTGATTGATTGAGTCCTAAAATGGCTTCTGCCGTGGTTCGGGCTGGGCGCGGTTTTTAAAGGGCTTCACCCTTTTCCTTCCTCCCCGTCACTGTTGACATCAGATGGCATGATGTTTTTCGCGCCCTTTTCTAGTAAGGGGGGTGACTGGGTGACAGACTTTGTGCTTACGGCACCAAAAATTGGGTGGAGTACAAGACAAACATGTAAAGCCAAATTTGCTTCTTGCAAATCCTAGTCCAATACTGGAATTTCTTTAACAGGATCTCTCTCAATTTCTCCAGTGGAATCAGATACTGAGAACTACAATAAAGCCTGACTTATTTCTGTGCCATGCAATGCTGAAATAGTCTGAAACAGGCAATCAAAGCATCCATTAAACATAACAAGAAAGGGTCACTTCAGATACTTACTTGTCTTCTCCCAGCACCACTCCAAAGGCAGCATGGACCACTCTGGTCACTTTAGGATCATACCAGCCAATCATCTGAGCTGCTGCAAACACTGTTTGTAAGTGCACTGACTGCAAAACAAATTGAAATTAGTGACCACCTGCATTTTTCATGTATCATTTTGCTATCAAGTGTATAGTGCAGGTTTTGCTTTTGTGCCCAGCATGAAGTTAGAAAGGAAAAACAGGCTTTCTTAAACCACTTATTTCTACTGTTAGACTCATTTACAGAACTCTCATAATGGTAAGCAGCAGTCATCTGTAGTAGTCACCTGCTTTTGCCAGCTATTCTGATTCTCAGGATATGTCAATACTTCCCTGCCCAGCTTTTTGCACGGGACACTTAGACACAACTCTGATGAAACTGCCAAGAAGCTAAAAGGGAGGGAGGAAGGAAATCTGTGATATGCACAACACAGCATCAGGATCTGGGATGAAACTACCTAATCGTTTCACACAATAAAACCAAACAGATGGTTACAGTTTTTAGTCACTACCCCCTCAGGCTGGAGTTGCAGTGCTCACCTAATCAGATTTCTGATCCCCAAAGCTACTGAATGATGGAAGAGCTAACAGCAAAAGTCTGCAACCTTACCTGGCCACTGTCCACCACATAAACAACAATATCAGCTTTTTCCTCAAACAGCCTTTGCTTAAGTGCAGCTAAGTCAGATGTGTCATATGTGAAACCTCCATCCGATTTCATGATTGTTAAGGGAACAGAACATCCTGGGACAAACACAATCTTTCGTCCATCATCCACTTGCACAAATCCTAGAGAGAGACACTATCATTTACCAGCAAACACTGAGAAAAGCAGATGTGCAGAAATATGCGAACCACTGGATGCTGTAAAATCAATGGTTCTCAACCATTTAAAACTCAAGGCACCCCTGAGAAAATGTCAGTTCTTTGTTTTTACTCAATTTTGAGCACAGAAAAGCAATAGAGCATTTTTTTTTGTTGCAAAGAACTCAGAGAGACCAATTCAAAAAGTGGTTTTAACACTACAGATTCCAATTTGAAATCTCTGGTTGTGACACTAGTTAAGAATCACTGCTGTAAAAAGAAGAGTTACTGTATTCTAAAGCTTTATTCTGTATTCTAAAGCTGTATTCTAAAACAGAGGCTCCGGTTGATTCATTATATCAATCGCTAAAAAGAAAAGAATCAATCAATCAATCAGTATTTTCTCACAAAACATGGGTTTATAAAGACCTGGTTTGGCTAGGGAACAAGCACTCTAATATTAGGAGGTACCAGCGCTGCAATGAAAAGGGCATTTGGAAATTTCATACAATTGCAGGGTCAATGAAGAAGAGGCAACATGTGGAACCCAACAAAGCAACAATGGCCTTTTTCCTTGGATCTCTCAAATACGTTTAAAAAACCCATACTACATCAGGACACTGACTGCAATTTGTCCCCCTGCTTTACCTGTGGCAAATAAGGTGCTTTTGGTGTCTTCGGGAAATAGGCATTGTAGGTGTGAGATAGGGCGGATTGTGTAGTTTTAGCAACAGGTTAGACAAGGACTTGTATAGGATGGTTTGGATAGGGAAGATCTTGCCTCAAGGAGGAGGTTGGACTAGGTGACCTCTGAATGTCCCTTGCAGCTCTACTTTTCTATTATTCTATGCAGGTGTTTCAAGTGAGACCAGAAGTGTAGTGTAGTGTAGTGCCCATGGAAGGCCAAAAACTGACAACTGATAAGTCTAGTGAGAAATCTGCCTTCCAGGTATAGGGGATTAATCTGTCTAGGAAGAAGATAATCTCCTGTACCTGGAAGGCTAATTGGAGTCCATTTTTTTCATGCTGACTACTGTCAGTGAGAGCTGGGAGCATACATTCTCACCATGACACGTTGTCTCTCACAGGCTCACCACATCATGTCAGCCCTCTGCAGCTTTACTATGACAAAACTGTTTTAGGACCCATCTGGGAAGGTGGGCCATATCTCTGTCATGATGGTATTTGACTATCTTAATCCTGTGGAAACCTAATTCTTGGCAGTGCTACATTCTAACTCTTAGCAATGCACTAGATGTAGGTTCAATGCCTTTCTGCACCAGCACCAGCCATTCAGACCTGTCACTATGACAAATACAAGGGTTTAATTTATAATATGTATCCCTCAAAAGAACAATCTTTTCTATATACAATAAAGGAGAAGAGGAAGAGAAGCAGGACAAAACAGAGTGCCCAGTTTCAGGAACTTCTGTCTTACATATGTCTCTAAACAAATTAGACATTCACTCCTTCACTTAAACAGAAAAAGAAGTGATCTCACTTTTGAACATTACCTCTTTCTTCAAATTCTTGCACAATGTCTTTCATCATATCTTGATAGTAGGATTCCCCTCTTTCTATTAGTGTAATGTGCAAGCAGTCGTAGATTTTTTGGAACTCTGAATTAGAAAAACAGACAGAACATTAATAAAATTAAACACTAAAGACTCTGGTCATTTAAAGCTATAAGCAAAGAGACCTCTTAATGTGATTAAAAGGAAAGGCAGAAAGCCCTATGGCTCAGCCACTGGACCAGGGCTCCAGAGCTCAATATTCAATGCACAGAGAACCCATGATATTGGATGTCATTCTCTGTGCCTCACTTCCAATCTGTGAAACAGACTTACTGTACCTCCTTATACAATCACAGAAAGATACAGTTGGAAGGAATTCAGGAGGGCATCTAGTCCAACCCCCTGCTCAAAGCAGGATCAGGCTCATCTAAATCATCCTGTACAGCACTGTGGTGAGGACGAATTCACTGATGAACAAGGATGACACTCTGACACTATGATAATGAGGGATGGATGTTAATTTTCTGAGCCCATATTACGTTGAGGTCAGAGAGGTGAAGCCACACATGTAAGCAATGCTGAAACTGACAGAAGTTAAAGTTTTTCTGATTGTGCTACACTCTAAAACCCGGAGCAAATGCAGGAACACATCAGGATTTCTTCTTAGGAATTCCTTGGAAGTGACTAAGTAAATCTTAAACAAGCATCACCCCAAACACCTAGAAGTTACCCTACCTCTGCATTAACGAAAGCAGTGTTGTTTTAGATAAAAACCTTTTCAGACAGCTCCAACTGATCCAAAAACTCCTGAGGGTGACATTCATACCATTGTTTTTGGAAAAGCTGAGGATCCCAAGTGAACTCTGTGTACTGATGTGAAGGATCACTTTGTGACTACAAAGTTACAACAGGTTAAGAGTTCTACAGAATAAACCCTCCTCTGCCCAATGGCTTTTTCTATTCCAATCAACTTAACAGATTACCAAAAAATTACAACTCAGGCAAATCTGCAAAAAATATCCACTTAAAACAAACACCAGTTTAAAAGAAACAGACACCAATTTTGAAGGTCACCTTTCCGAGATACATCACAGATGAGTTTCCAGGCTTTAATGAAGTCTGGGTTTTTGCTTTGTAGTAGCACCACACACTGGTAGGCACGTTTTTTAAATTCCTCCTCCGTGTCAAATCTCCTTTTAGATTCCTAAGTTAAAAATAATACATGAGAAAGACTTTTTCCCCACTATTTTTGATACTGCCTTAAGGCAAACTTGCATTTTCTGGAAACAAGCAGAATGGCTGAATAGACAAATCAACAAATCAACTAAACTCAAAAGTTTCAATAGCACATAGTCTTCCCAACCAAATGCAATACTTCATGAACTATCAAGGCATAATAAGCAATTCTTTTATACCTTAATAAACTGAATTAAAAAACTCTTTTTGTTTCAACAACGTTCCATTGGTAGTTTACGAAGGACCCAAATTGTTTGATTTAAAAATAAAAGGGGAAAAAAATGGATATACAAGATAAAATTACCTTGTAAAAAGCTTGAAGGTCCCCAATCGGTGGTGAAACAGTCAGGTAATCTGGAAATTTATCTTGGAGGTGAGCAATGAGCATTCCAAACTGGGTGCCCCAGTCTCCTAAATGGTTTAACCTGGACAACAATTACACAGCATAAAATTTATGAGAAGAAATACATATCATGCTAGAAAACAAAGGTAAAACAGGTGAAATGAAGATTTGTTAGTCAAGCAGAAATAAGACTGCTGACAGTGGATTGCACCAAATTGTACTTAGGCTATTACTGCATCTAGGGTATTATGTATGGAAGTATTTTTAAGTTAGGTCCAGGCTGCCCGAGCCCATGGACAGATATTCTTTTATCAACCTACATTATAAGCTTGGCAGCTCTTACCTCAGAACGTCATATCCCACAAACTCAAACAGGCGACACATGCTGTCTCCAATAATGGTTGACCGCAGGTGACCAACATGCATCTCCTTGGCAATGTTAGGGGAGGAGAAGTCAACCACCACCTTGGAGAGGGGAAAAGGATGAATAGAAAGAAATATTACTAAATGCCATGCCATACAGTATACTGCTGTAACTGCAGCCTTTCCAAAGTTACATGCATGTAAGTACTTCTTATGCCTGATAACTAAATGCAATGACAATGTCTGCCCATGACTTGGGCCCCAGGGCAAACATGTAATTAAAGGCATAGTGAGATCTGATGTATGATCTCTACAATTGCACTTCCTGCCATGCTACATATGCCTGGCAGGAGGTGTGACTGTGGGACAGAGCATCAGATCCCATGGTGTCATATTGTTGGAGCAGGGGAAGTCCAGGATCAGAATCCCCCTGCACCAACAAGTAGCAAGCTCCCACGGGTGGGAACCCATCAGCTGACAGGTCCCAGCCTTGTAGGAACATGGTTGATCAGAGGTGCCATCTGCAAGTGTGTAGGGGAGCCCTTGACTCCAGCTATGCCCCAAAGCTGGGAGCCTCAATTTGTTGCTGCTTCCAGCAAGGAAGGTGGGGAATGAATCAAGGCGGCTAGAAGCAACAGCTAATTGCAGCTCTCAGCTTTGGGGGCCCATTGGAACCCTTCACCTGAGGCCAGGAGTGGCAATCAGCTGATTGGCACTTTCAGCCTCAGGAGCACATAGGAGTCAAGGGCTCCCATGAACTCTGGATGCTGGAGCCCCAGTATGCATGGCCACATGTTCAATTAATGGCATGATAGGAACCAGCCATAAAGTTATTACACATATTTTTTTGTTTTACCATGCAATTAATTGCATTAATGTGTGGGTGGGTAACTACTTAAGACATAGTTAACTGGTTAATCACATCTCATGTGCAATGTGTGCCTGGAGCTTATAAAGAGCAGGCCACCTGGGTAAGCTCAAACTCTGTGCTCATAACAGCATTCACCGTGCAATTGCGTACCCATCTGAAAACCAGGCTCTAGAACTCCTCCAGGCTCATCTCATTCTGTCGTAAAAAAGTTAAAACTCTTTCGATGCTCACACACCTATAAACAAGCCTTTAAGTAATCAAAAACATGTTCACCCCTGCTACTTCTAAGAAACAGATCCAATGGGAAAATGCATATAAACCAAATAAAATCACAACTGTAATCATTTTTCAGCATCTGTTGTTGGCTTAATGGTAACGTTGACAGTTGAGTGGATGTTTACTAGCCTACCTTTTTTCTTTTTTCAATGGCTGGTGGTTGAACTCCATTCACCAGTAGATTGCTCAGCTGTTTGGACACAAAATCCTCTCTCAAGTGGACATTAATAAAACCTTTGGAGGAAAAAACAGAGTTATCACTGGTGCTACAAAAGTGTCCTGAGAAAGACATTTCACTTCGAGCTATAACAAATGCTCCCATGAATGAGAAGAAGACTGTAATGAAAATTAACTTAAAAAAAATAAAAACGTAAAATTTCTGTAACAGGAGAAGTGATCACCCAAAAGATGATTCACTCATTTTCTGCTCATCATACTAATCTAACGTTGGTTTTGATGGTGTTAGAGGAGCTGTGGATTACAAGTAATTAGAGGTGCACTGATACATTAGTTTATAACAGATTAGCACTGATTAAAGGAAAATTAACATGATCAGCAATTGGCTTTTTTTGGCTGGTGTACCCAATAATGTTACCAATAAATGCTATATGCATACATGCAGCTGCAGCATACACATAGCCAGGAATGCAGCACAACAGCTTGAATAATAGTGCCCTGCTGGTAAGTAAGTTGGCAGGAAGGAGCATGGGGGAGAGAAGGAGCAGATCAAGGCCCCTAAGGTGAGGGAGGGAGTGGGGCTGGGGCAGGTGCTGCCAAGCGAACACAGTGAACGTGACCCCGCCAGGAGCAGGGTGGAGCCATGAGCAGCTCATCTGAAGGGTGCGGGGCAAGGGGAGGAGGTGGTTCTCTGCCGCTGCATACCCACCAGGGGAGGCATGGGGGCATGTTTTCCCCCCCTCCCCCAGATTTGAGCATAGGGCGAGGGTAGACTGCCTGCAGCAGGCTCGGGGCCAGAGGCTGTGCTGCCCTCTTCCTGGCGGGGGAGGGTGGGGCAGCAGCAATGCTGGAAGGTCTATGGGGTAGGCTACAGTCACCCCAAAATTCCTTGTAGTCACCCTTCCCAGCACTGCTGCCACCTGCCCCGAGCACAGCCCCAGCCCAGTCCCCCAGCGAGGAAGAGGCCAGTGCAATCCTTGGTCCCGAGCCTGCTGCAGGCAGGCCACCCTCACCCCATGCACCGATCTGGAGGACACATGCCCCCCATACCTCCCCATGGGGTATGTATGTGCAGCGGCGGGTAGCCACCCCCCAGATGAACCGCTCATGACTCCGCCCCTCTCCCAGTGGGCTCACATTCACTGCCCTGGCTAGGCAGTGGCTGCCTCTGCCCCACTGTGGGGCCTCGATTGGCCCCCCCACACCCTTTCCTGCCCCCATGCCCCTTCCCCCTCACAGACTTTTTGGCAGGGAGCTGCTTTCCAAGCTACAGGGTTGCGTATCAGCTATCGGTATCAGCCAATATGACTGGTTAATAATCGGCCATCAGTATTGGTCAAGAAAATCTTTATCACTGTACCCCTACAAGTAATTGGTGCAACCTGCAATGTCCACATGTCATCCTTGAGTCCCAGAGAAAGAGATTAAGTGACCTGCTCAAAGTCATAGGGGATTTCAGAAGTAGTGAAGGTCAGGGATCTATCCTGATATCTTTATCACTGGGCCATCCTTCCTCCTGAAAATGATAATTCATCAATTTATAAGAAACCGTCTACCAGAAAGATTTAACAATACCTCTCAGACTATTGGCTGGGCCATTTATATAAATTGTTATGGGCTATTTGCATTCACCAGGAAAACACTGGAGGAAAGTATATTTACCCTTTTCTGTGACTTGCAACTATTAACTCTATGTGCACATAATCGAGAGATATATACATACATGCTTGCAGGACTAGGTCTTGCTACATACATGTATTGCCAATTGTACTCCCAGACCTCTAATAAAAATTAAGCATGTCAGACCACACAGCCATGTTTAATAAAAGGTCAAATTTGCAGAAGCATTTGGATTTTACTGCACTGTAGGACTATCAGAGTGTCTCCTTCTAATGCACCTGCCAAATGCCTGAATTTTATTAAGTGAACTTAGTACATCTGACAGAAGTCAGACTGAGATCAGGGGAAATTCAAGTCTTCCATTCCTTCACAGGCCAGGAACAGTAGGGCCAACACAACTGCAATGCTTTCCAACTGCAATGCTCCATTGTGTCGTAGCTCTCAACTGGAAAGACCTCCTCAAAGGGTAAGTCCAGGGTCCAGGCCTGTTCAGACTCTCAGACTCTGCCCCAACACCCAACAAAAGATGCCAACTATGGTGGTAATTTTTATCATGGACAGCTGTCAACTTGTAAGACTCCTATTGATTTCAATGGGGACAGGATGTCAGGAATTACTCCAATACAAATGCTGTTCCCAATATATTACACTGTAAAGGCAATCAAGAAACCTGAATTTAATTCAAATTTTAATTATTTTTTAACCTTATATATATATAACCAAACTGGATTTTGATTCCTTTTCTGCTACTCACCATAACATCTGAAATATCAGTCTTAAAAAGTTCAATAGATGTAAAAAAAAATAAAAAAATAAAAAAAAGAAAGAATGATCATACCAGGTCCAGCAATTTCAACCTTTGCAATGCATTCATTATCAGGGATGTTTTTCACTATGTTATCAGCAATCTCTCTTGGGTTCACTTTCTGTTCCTTGGTTTTCTGTAGCATCTGAAACAGCAATTAAAGGGTCAGTAGAGACTAACCCTGATTCATCAACTGGAAATCTAAATACAGTTTCAACTGAGCCCTCACTGACATGATCCACTGAATTCCTTGTGTTTATCAATCTTGGTGAAATACTGAGAGCTTGGTTCTACAAGCACATCACTTCTGATACTAGTGCGTTCACTGAAAAGCCCTTACAAGCTCTGAGCCTAAGAACTATGGCATCTGGGACCATAACATGGCCTTGTGACATCAGAGCTTTACAATGCAGAAATGTGCTAATGAAAATTAAACTGCAATGTACATAAAAGACCAGCGCTATTGTTTATCTTCGCTCAGTGTACACAACAGACGTCTAATTGCAGCCTGTTTTCACGCTGCTCAAAACTGGATATGCATTAGCATATGAGAATATATATATATAGATAGATCTATACAGATCTATCTATCTGTCTATATACACACACATACATACATACACACACACACACAATGTTAATATACATGCTATGCATCTGTAGAAAGCATTTTATCCAGCTCTGAGGACCCAGAAATTCTTCATGGCTGCTTCTGAATATTCCCAGTGCTCAGACTACTGAGGAAAATGCAGGTTTTTCTTTATTCAGGTTAGCTAAGTCTTAATATATAACCTCAATGCCCACCAGGATATATCCTGAAAAGTTAGATTTTAAACTGTGTCAAGTCAACTAATTACATTTTAAAAGAAACCAAACCTTATCCTAATATAGGCAAGGTCTTGGTTGCAACTACACGCAGATGTTTAAAACCTTGGAGTACTTATGTCCCAACTTAAAACACTGACATCTCATTGTGAAGAAAATGGCTTTTTCCTCCCTTCACATTTCAGTTCTTCAAAGTATGAACACAGAACAGAAAAGTGGCTTTAATTCTACTTTTAGGAATTTAATGATTTAAGATTTTAATCATTTAATGATTTAAGATTTTTCTATCCATTTGTGACTGATATCATTGTACAATGTGGCAGGTCACCAAGGGAAAATGCTTAATTCTTGGGTATTGCTAGATGGTGAGGAAGAGAGAGAAATATGGAAATAGCGAGAGCGGCAGTGGCTGGTGTCCTATGGCCAAAAGCTCAGTTTTGAGAGCAGATTAGTTAGAAAACAACCACTGCTACAATTCTCTTTTAAGATATTTGTTATCCAAATGCCCAAAGCTGGGTATCTACATCTTCAAAGTGCTCTTTACTGAAGTCACTGGAGACAAAAGTTTAACGTAGCCATTCCCCTGTCCAGTTTCCAACCCAGATATTGCAGCGCTGGTTGGAATGATATTGATAAGGAACCACATGAAAAGTAGTTACATAATATGAACAGAGGGGCAAATCTGAATTTCACAGTGTTTAGTTTTTGATGACCAACAGTGATATTTTTAACAAAGGAAAGAAAATATATGTTTTTATTTGTATTACGATTTTAACCTAATATAACATCTGTAAAACGAATACCTCACACTGTGAGGCAGGACTGCCACCAAGTACTGCAAATGATATTCTGATTTATGTGAAAACAGGAAACTGGGCAGTTTTGTAGTAGTCTATGAAGAGTTCCATAAGAAAAAAGTGCTATTGTGTTTTAAAACTATATTTGTAGATATTGAAATGTAAAGGTTATACTTGGGCTGGAAAAACATCTCCAGCTTGCCCAGTGTCTTAACATGTACCTTTCTTTGAACCTTAAAAATCACCCCTTGTTTAGCATTGCCCTAGTGTTTAAATTTGCCTCTATTCTGGAAGATAAATCAGTTGGTTGTACAAAAACTATGAATTCATGCTGTGTAAAATCTGCCATAAATGAGTTCCATGGAGCTGGATTTTTTGCTGTCATTCTGAGGTGTTTTGGAAACCCCTATGACCTTGCAGGGTAAGCACAGATTTATGTCAAGGCTGTAAGATTTATTTTTTCACGGTGATTTGGTTTCTAGGCTCCTGGTTGCTTACATTTTTAACTTCCAGTGTTCCATGAAATGTGACAGCTTCACATGTACAATACTGCAATTTATGATACAACTGATCTAATACGGGCTGGCTAAGGCTGAAAACCAAGCAAGAAAATATTGTCTTTTCACAGGCAATAACTTCCATCAACGCCAGAGAGAGACGAGGTTCCAAAAATAAGGGAGACAAATCTTGAATCAGTAAGGGATGGTAGGTCTTCATTAATGCAGTACTTTGTAGCTGCGACTCTAAGAAATAAGAAGTGCTTCTGGCTGAGGCCCCAGTTAGAATATGCTAATGGGCTCCAGGGAAGACAAAACACATTTGTCATGGCTGTGTCTGCCTTGGCAGGTCAAATGGAGAGGCTGCCGGCTGGCACGTATTAGTGTTGCCCAGGAGTCAAATCCATGCCCGTGCCCGACAGTAGCAGCCTACAACGTTCCCTCTGTAGGAGGCAGTTCTTGGGACTCGAGTGATACAGCAATATACACGTTAGAAGCAGCAGGCTTGCCACAAGAAACAACTAAAAACTGGAACCATAAACTATGCGCTCCTGGGGGTGGGGAGCATGTGGACTTTATACCAGCACAGTGCCTGGCAGGACATTAGCATTCTGCAAGAAACCATTCCAGAAAGATGCGAAACGAGTCTTCACAAAGAACGAGCCCTATGTCAAAATCCAGTACAACGGACCGTTAAAGCATCAGTTGTGATGAGAGTCTGGAACTTGAGAAACTACACAAAAGGTCCTCTAACACCAGTGTTTGGATATCAAGTTATCGAAACAATGTAGACATTGAAAATGCAGCACTTCATGAGAATCGTAACAGCGACTTAATTGGGGTAAAGTGACGGTCAAAAGATATTAAAAAAAAAAATAGCAATGCTTGGAAAGCTTGTGTCAGTGCAGTCACCCAAGGACCTGTAACTCTAGGAGACAGGCAGATCTCCTGGCCAAGACCCAGTCGCAATATGCTAATGACAGCTAAAGAAGACAATACACATATTTGTGGGGGTTGTTTCCACACTGGCACTTCAAACCAAGAAGCTTCTCTCTGGCACGTACCTACACTATCATCCAGGGAATTCAGCACAGCAACTGTGTATTCATAACTAGCTCTGGAGGGCTACCCTGGGGTGAAAATCATTTTGCATGTTACAATATAGATTGATATACAAAGTACCTGGTAATTGACTCAAAGTGAATTAATCAAGCCTTATTAACCAAAGGCTGCTTATAGAACAACTTCTACTGTTGAGATTGAAGAGTATACTGCATGTGCTCATACAGAGCATATTCTGCCTCTGACAGACACAAACACACTAGAAGTTTGGACACCTTTACAGTTAGACTGAAATCCTAAGTACAATTAGTCTTTTGGTTTCACAGTTCACCTAGTTTACTAATTCTTCCTGACAGCCTGATATTGCTTCCTCATTTCTTTTCTTCTCTTGCTTACTGTTTGCTTGGTCCTCTTTAGACAAAGTGTTTTTTTAAAAAAAAACCCAACCCTTCCAATTTCAAGTAATACTATCAACATGTTAACTAAGTTGATAAAGAATTTACACAGTGCCCATTATTAAAGTGCCCTATGAATTTCCCTTATGACAGAAGTCACCTTTTTTGGACTTGTACAGATTTGGTTCCATTTTCATTGTCTGATCAATGCTGATCTCATGACTTTACAAGAATGCTTTCTTTCTGCTCACATCTGCCACGTAGTCTCATTTGACAGCCTCTTCTTTTGTGTTACTTCACATTTCATTATGTATTACCTGCAATCCTTTCCTGCCATTTCCTTCTCCAGTTCTCACATACTTACATTTTGTAATATGTTACCTTTTTATAGCAGGGGGATTTACTCAAATATTGAATATTTAAAAAAAACAAACATCATTATTCAGTTTTGTTCTATTAATTAAGTAAGCAGCCAAAGTACCAGCCTTACGCATGACACCAGAAGGCCCAATTAGTAACACCTGTATGCCTGACAGGCCATAAATATAGCTTAGCTTTGATGGTAAAGCACTGTTTAAGGTGCCTGGGTTGGGAGAGAGTTGATTTTTTTATGGGAACAAATGTCAAACATTTACGGTAACAAAATAAGTCATTGAGCTGCATTCTTGCATGTGACATACTTAAAACACCACCACCTACTTCCTTCAGTGGAGACACGGTCACCTGCCCAATTATGAAAACCTAGTTTTGAAGATGGTTAATCTAGCCTCAACAGAATCCTTTTAGTCTTGAACTAATCATCTAAAAGGAAAGCCATGGCTCCACAAATTTCCACTAAGTTCAATAACTTTACATGTGAAGATTGCAAGGACAAGGCCTAAAGCATATATATCCCTGTTAGAGCCTGTTACTACACCGCACATTACAGGGCTTCACACTCCCGAGAAGTCTCAAGCACCAGCAAATCATTACATTTTGCTTAACATTACCTGTGTTATGCCCATTGCACTGTTACACTGGTAATCCCCAAATTTGGGTTGCTGACTTGGTGTAACCGCCAGAGGGGGATTTTCTAAATCTGGGTATGCAGCCTTGATAGCCTCTCCAAAGAGCTTTTGAAGGCGGCCGTTTATGTTAATCATGCTTTTTACTGGCTTATTTCTTTCGTCCAGAAGGCTCTGGGTAAAAAAAAGCAACATCAAAACACAGAACAGTAAGTTCATGATACTCTAGCAGCAGCACAAGCAATATAACATGTTATGTGATTAAAGCACTGTCACCAGAGAACTTGATATTTGGCTTAAAATTGACTGTTCAAAAAGCACAGTATTAGCTAAAACTTCTTATGACATACCCTGAAGCTATATGTGCTCAAACACAGAAATTCTTAATGAAAAAGTTACAATTTAACACTGTTTCTGTAGACGCAAGCCTGGACCTTTATACACTAAATCAGAGAAAATTAGGGTTGAAAGGTACATCAGAGGTCATCTAGTCCAAACCCCTGTGCAAAGCAGGATCATCCCAGCCAAGGCTTTGTCTACCCAGGTCTTAAAAATCTCTAAGGACGGAGATTCCACCACCTCTCTGGGTAACCTGTTCCAGTGCTTTATGACCTTCCTAGTGAGAAAATTTTTCCAATAGCTAACCTAAATTTTCCTTGCTGCAACTTGAGACCATTGCTCCTTGTTCTGGTATGTGTCACCACTGAGGACAGTCTAGCTCCATCTTCTTCAGAACCACCCTTCAGGTACTTGAAGGCTGTTATCAAATCCAACCCAACTCTGTTCTTCTCCAGACTAAATAAGCCCAGTTCCCTCAGTATCTCCTCATGAGTCACATTCCCCAGCCCTCTAACCATTTTTATTGCCTTTTGCTGGATTGTCTCCAATTTGTCCACATCCTTTCTGTAGTAGGGGCCCAAAACTGGACACAGTACTCCAGATGTTGCCTCATCAGTGCCAAAGAGAGGGAAATAATCACTTCCCTCGATATGCTGACAGCACTCCTACTAATGCAAATTTATTTTGGGTTGTTTCTAGGGGTAACGTGACCCACCTCCATGATATGAAAACTACAGTACTGCCAACCCCACTGTGTCAAAAAGCATGAGGCAAGGTCTCAAAAATCAAAAGATTTGGTATGTAAACGTGAGATGCTATTTTTGAAGCGTGTATGCATGTGTGGGGGCTTTACTTGTGAAGGTGTAGAGGGCTGTGGGTATGTGTGGGGTTTGGAGCAGGGTACTGTGGGTCAGAAGTGAACGGCAGCAGAGACAGAGACATAGGGACATGCAGACACGCCAGGTCAGGGGTCGTGCAACAGAGCCGTGGGCAGCTTGTCTACAGGTGCATGAAGGTGGGCAGCTCCCTGCCACTATGTGTGCCCCTGAGAAAGGCATGGGGGGCATGTACCCATGGATTTGTGCATGGGGCAGAGGTTGGCTGGGGCTCTGCTGCCTTTGTCCCAGGAGCTATGCGACACCATGTGTGCCTCCTGATGCCTGCTGGATGGGCAAGGGAGGTGCAGCGTGGTCAGTGCGCAGCTCCCTGGGCAAAGTTTGTCTTGGGACCTGTGTGCTAGCCATGCCACATATTCCCTGCCCACCTAGTGGGTGGCAGGAAGCACACTGGCATTGTGTGGCTACCAGGGCAAAGGCAGCAGGGTGCAGAGAGTTCCAGCTTGCAGCAGGCAGCCCACCTCTGCCCCGCACACAAATCCAGGGGGCACATGCCCCCCCTGGGGGTGCACACAGCAGCAGGGAGCTGTGCCCCCCTCCCCCCACGCCTCTGGATGAGCTGCCCACGGCTTTGTTGCATGACCCGCCCCAGCCCTAGGGCCCCATTCACCCCACTCCCTCCCTTACCGTTGGGGCCTTGATCTGTATCCCCCACCCCCTCCCCTACACAGACTTACTAGCTGGGCACTCTCTACATGTGCCAGAAGAAAAAAAAACCCCGAGACTTGAGGGTTCTATCTCCTGATCATGAGTCAGTTCATTTGACTTGGAAATTGAGAGTTTTCGCAAGAGTTGGCATTACTGTATCTATTGCCATGTTCAACTATGGAAAAGAAAGTTATTGTTCTACCCCAGGGCAACTCGCTCCTGAGCTGTACCTCATGTCTTCCCCTTGGAGGGAAGCATCCAGTTTTCCCCTTGGAGGGAATCATCCACCCTTCTGCTCCCTGTCCAATGCCAAACTGATGAGGGCTGCTCTGAGATCTCCTGATGCTGTTAGCACCTTGACTGTCCTCCTCATCTTCCCAGCACCATGTAAGGATCCTTCCTTTCTCTTTCCCCACCAGGGGTGGTGATCCTGCCTCCTGCTCCCAGCTGCAGTGGCTCTCTGGGGTAGGAAGGTACTCATTTCATTTTGCCTGTTTTTTTCTTAAGAACCAAGCCAAGCCAAAAAGCAGGCAAAATGAACTAAATACCAAACCAGCAAAAATGCTGAATGATTTTTTTTGGTGTAGCATTTTACCCTGCTGGTTTGTGTGATGCACAGGTCCGTGACAGAGCCTCTTTGTTTGGAATGAGTTTCACTTTCCAGTTGTTAACTGTTTTCTAATGTAGGCAAACTGTTTATCTTTGTTGCCTCTGTTCAGAAACTAGAGGTGCATGACACATCGGTTCAATATCGGATCAGTAGCTATATAACGAAAACGGGCTGTATCAGATATTGGCTTGATGGGGCTGATAATTTGGCTGATAAATGCCCGTGCTACATGCAGCCACAGCACAGCCAGCAGCATGGAGAGCTGCCTCCAGCTGGTAAGTTCAGTGTGGTGGAAGGGGAGGGGAGGGAAGGGGCATGGGGGGACAGATCAATGTTCCCCACCCCCTGGGTGAAGGGACGGGGGAAGGCAGGCACTACCCAGGGCTGTGTGCCGGAGCCACAGCTTGGCAGGGGGTGGAGAAGGCAGCTCCTGCCACTGTTTCCATTCCGGGGTGGCATGGATGGGAGGCATGCCCCCCGGATCTGCATGAGGCAGGGCAGGGCAGGCTGCAGCTGGGGCTTTTCTCAGCAGGGGCTGGGCTCGGAGCAGGTGCTGGTGGCTTTAGGAGGATGCTGCATCCACCCCAGATTTCACCGCCATCAGCAGCCTGGTGCAGTCCCGGCTCTTCCCACTGTGCCGGTAGAGGCAGGGCATTGAGCCAGGGCTGTGCCGGGTGGCTGGCAGTGCTGGGAGCAGAGCGGCAGCAAAATTTGGGGTGGATGCAGCATTTTCCCAGAGCCCTCGCTGCCCACTCTGAGCCCAGCCCCCGCTGAGAAGAGCTCTGTGCAGCCTTCCCTGCCCTACCCCACGCAAATCCAGGAGGCACACTGCTCCCCCCATACCC